ACAGGCAGCTCCCCTGCCTTCCTGTGGCTGATACACTTGTTCAACAGACACAGCTTTGCAGCCCCTGGCAGGATTTCCTTCAGGCGAGTCTCCCCTTGCTCCTGGCTGTAACTCCTAGCAACCTTCCCCTAGCAGCTAAATCCCAGTCCCACCCTGCTCCCCCTTCCCACATTTATTATAATAGTTCTGTATGATCAGCAATGTCCAGGACTGCTTTGAATACAAGGTAGTCTCCACAATCATTGGTTCAAGTTTTTATTTTTCCTTGTTCTTTTTGTATCTATCACCTCCTCTCTTTCAAATGTCCATCTTCCAAACCTGTAAAGCTCTTTCTCAGCTCTGCTTCTGTCTGCAATTGTGATGCCACACACCTGGGAAGCCTGGTATCACATAAGGGAGAAGGGCGAGCCCCTTCTGCATGGCAGAGACATAAAGAAGTAACATTTTCATCACACTCATTTCATACAGACCCCTTTTTGTAAAGGATAAAAGTAGGAAAGGTGAGGAACTGATACTTTTAACCACGCCCTCACAGGGAGCAGGCCAGCAACTGTTCAGGGCAAAAAGCAGCTCACCCAGCAAGCTAACAGAGCACGCTGCTCTCCCCCCGGCTTCAAGGCCAGGCTAGCATAGCCAAGGTTTCATCAGTTGGGACAGGGACGTACAAAGGTAAATAATAGTGCTTTACAATCTCTATCTCAAGCTGCCAGGTGCAAATTACTGCTACCCCCAGAAGCAGCCAGAGCAGCAGTGCTGCAGCCATGTACCACCAGGGTGCACACAGAAAGACCTGCGAAGCCCAGCTCCGAGCTCTGTTCTCCCACGGAGCAGCCTCGTGAGTGGAGGAGGGAGGCAGCCAGGTACAGAAACCACACTGCGAGTTAGACTGCAGCTGAAGGCGCAGAGCCTTAGAAAGCCTTCTAAGAAGCAGAAATCCCTCTCGGGTAATTAAAAGAAATTTGAAATCCCAGTTAAGTAAAGTAGAGTTATATAAGAGACTGAAACAGCGTAAACAAATGCTTAAGTACTCCCCCACTGTAGAGAAGAATGCAAGAGCAAGGCCATAATGTTCCTGCAGTGCAGAGGTACCTTGTGCCTCAACAACATTAACACAGATACTGCACATTCAAAGCCAGCAGCTCATCACAAGCACGGGCTTGGAGCATGAGCTGCATGGTGCCAGATCTCCCCACCACCACTCTAGGGAGTTCCACCAACCATAGAAACAGAGACAAGCCCACATTTCCAGACACTTTTCCCAACCAAAATACATGCACTTGGTAATCACTATTAGAGTTTATTTTTCTTCATAACTGTGCAGTTTTTAAAATTCTACAGTAATCAGGAAATCATAGGCTACTACATTCTTTTAAGTGTGGAAACAGTTTTCAAAAAACAAACACCATGCGCTACAGATGAGGAACAGGCCATTGACTCTTCAGCTGGAATATACAGACATTTTCAATAAATACTGATCACTTTAACACTCAAATGGAATGACATGTTCAGATTTCTACACAGTCCACTATGAAAACAGCATGGTAAGTTACATAAAAGCTTCAACTTTAAGGATCCTTGCCTTTTTGTTAAATTAATTACTTTGTTAGAAAAGAGAAATGCAAGACTATTTGAAATGGAGTGTCACCTGGACAACTTTTTTTCCCCTCTACTGTTGGTAAGCTCCTGTTATCAACATAATTCTATCACAGCTGGCAGTTAAGTTAAAAAGATATATAAAAGAATCCCACACACCACTTTCAGGTATTGTTACAGGCAAATATCTTCATGAATTTGGAACGGGTTTTCAAAAACTGTATCTTGACATTATTGCTTTTTACTTGTAAACCTGAAATTTAGTTTATTCCTTTGAAGAGTGTCAGAAGTAGAGAGTCAGTGAGATGCATGTTTTACTTTTATCTTTGCATTCTGATTATAAGAAGAAAGAAAAAGATGACCCATGCTGGAGAACACACATGTACCTCCATCTACAAAACAGCCTATACAGACTAAAGCTGAACAAGGTAAGTCCTAAAGTAGCAGTATTTAAAAACATCAATAGGGTAGAAACCTAGCTCACCCAATGTATCTGAACACTCTCTTTCCTCCCATGCTTGGCCATCGTTTAGCTGGTAGGCAAGGAAGTTTGGGACTCCTGCAGGGAGGAGCCGTTTATCAAGATTCCAGAGAGAGAACTAAGGTGCATTTTACTAGACCTGACAGAGGCACAGGGCTATATATATTCATGCTTAGATCTATTAGACTGTTTCCCAGCTGCTAAAGGAGGAATGTGAGGTGAGGACAGGAACCCAGACTCCTTACAAGTATTGCACAGTTTTACCACTTGCCAGGTAAGCTAGCAACATGGTCTCAATACAGACCACTCAAATTAGGGATTTAGGGGATGCAAGACATACCTGCTTTTTGATACATTCCAACATTGCCAGCCTGAAGGTGCTATACAGCATAAACTGGCTAAACTGCCATCTTGTAGAACTGACATGAAAGGGGTGTTACTTTTAATAGACAAATTTGCTACAAGACAGTTTTGAGAGACTGCATTCCATACATTTCCATCTCTTCCTCCTCTATCCCCCCAGAAGAAGAGACAAGCAAATATGTTTAAGTTAGTATGTATTTGTGTAAACACCAGAACATTTTGCTATACAATAGAAAAAAGTTGCTGCTCTTATGTTCTTAGAGGAGCCCTGAAGACCTTGGAATACCTGTATACTGCAACTATTAATCTGCACCACGTGCATTTCCTGTTTTGTACACAAACTGAAAGCAAGCTTGAACAATAGTAAATAGCAACTACACTCCTGCATCAGGTAAAAATGCCACATTGCAGCTGCTTACTCCTTCGCTTTAGATATGTAGTCAGCCAGTTTGTTGATACTATCCTCTTGCTGTTCTAGAGCATCCAGTATGATGCCCATTGGGGTCTTCTTCAAGCCTATTCCTTCCATCTTGTTCTCCAGCTTGTTCTTTATGTTCCGGAGCCTCAGAGAAGCATGGACAAACATCACTGCATGACAGAAACACACTTGTTAATGCCCAAGGAATTCATAGTTCTTGACGTGTTCATCTTAAGACACACTCCAACACCATGACATCACCGGAAGAAGATGAAGTCTCAATCACTGCTTAAGTAACTGCAGGTACCCATTTAATAATAAAGATGGCTTGCGCTGTTTCATGTCCCCTTCTCCCCAGTTTTGTTTTGGGATCATTGAAATAGAGACAGTAAAGGCAACAGCCAGTTTAGACTCTGCAGACTTCATTTGAAAAAGCTTAAGTCACATACCCCTGGCCTCCCAGAGAAGAGGAAAAATACTTACAGAGAAGAGGAAGAGTGATCCCAAACATGAACACCATTACATCCCCCAGATAGGAGATCAAGAAGTAGCTAGACAGCATGATGACCACTACAAATGTGGTTGGGTACTGCTTCTTCATCCTGCGGAGTATATCCTTATTGTGTGATACCCACACAAACCCCATGAACACCAGCACCACCACAGTACCGCCAATGAGCATATTCAGGGGACTCAGAAATCTGGAGAGAAGAGGGGGGAAAAAAAAAAAAGAAGGGTCTCATTTCAGAGCATTCACGACTTGTGTCCATATAACAAGCATCTAGCTCACCGGTAACTTCTTACTAGCGAGGTAAGGCATTACGCAGTCCATTGTTGCTGTCAAGATCTTTCTCAACCCCTGATTTTTAGGCAGAAGCTAAATAAAGCAACAAGTGCAACTTAACAAGCAACCTTTTAGCCGTGAATTTAGATAACCTTTGTCCTTCTGTCCTTTTCCTGAGCACAGCTCAGGATAATGAGTTTCTGCAGCACCTCATCAATAGCTGCGCTTACTGCCAGGATCCCTCCTTCCTGTGCAATTGGCACATTCACTTGATATCAGACCCAGAGTTGGCAAAACCTGACAGCAGATGGAGCCAATAACCAGTTTCCCAAGGGATTGGTCTTGCTACACACGTCCAAAACCAGGCTCAGCCTAGGCCTTCAGATGAACTAGTTTTTCCATATTATCTTGTCTAGGTTTGCAAAATGGGAAAGGTAGAGAAACACTGAGTAAAGGAAGTTACTTCACTATTTCTTATTTCTGAATAAGCATTCTTAGTGGTTTACACCTGAACAAAATAACTTTATGAACCTGCAGAAGGAGCTTACTACCATTAGCACAACAGATAGAAGCCCAAGCCCAAAGCAAGCATGCCTGAGAGTCAGAAGGAACTGGAGTATGGGATAAAGGTCTTGCAGGAAAAAGAGCCAGGGCTGGCACGAGGGTCACTGCTGAGGTTTGTGTTCTATTATTGTTATGGGAGTTACCAAGCAAACCAAGCCACCAAGTGGATCAGCTTTGGACTATAAACAGCAAGTCCCTTTTTTGCACGAGGGCAAGAATATCACCTGCTACAAGCACATTCCCAAGTATTTAGAGCTTGTTCAGAGTCAAGCTTTCAGCAATGACTTTGCTTAGCTTGTTTCTCTATTTGTAAAAAGTCCAGGCTCTATTGTCTTTCATTGATATCGTAATAAGTTAAGTGATTTCATGCGCATTCTGATTTACTTGCTTGTATGTGCACCGATCTAATTACACAGCAGCTGAGGGCTCTGAGCTGCTGCAACTATGACAGCAGCATAACACTGTCCCGATAAAGCCAGACATAGTTAAGATTTCCACTTGTAGACTTTGCAGTCAGTCTTACTGTTCCAAAGCTAACAGGCACAATGACTCACCACTCCACCCCACCGCTGAGGAGGACGCTATGGTTTGTGGTCTGTGCTTCATATCCGGCACAGGCAGAAGAAATCTGTTGCTGGACTGGTATGCCAACACTCTACCTGCAGTGCCAGCGAGCGTTCTGCTAGAGAAGGAGGAACCCCCAAGAATTATTTCAGAGTAGAGACTGGCTCTTGATCCTTTAAATCAGTTGTGCCAACAGGAGACAGGACAACTGGATGGAAAGAGATTAAAATTCAGATTAGTTCCCCACCTGCTTCTGCTACTCATGCTGAAAAGCCAACAGGGCTTTTTGGAAGTGGTGATAGGGCAGACTTGCTTGTTGCATCTGAGTCACTCCCTGTAGCCAGCCAGATTATATTTAGCTCTGAATTGTCAATCTAAAGTTTCCAGACTGGAAAAAGTGAACAGCATTGCTCTGGAAAGAAGTCAGTTTCATCTGTGCTCCTTTGCAGCAGGAGAAGGAGAGTGACTCATGACTAGACCACACTAGTGCCTGGCTTATATATGTACTACTGGACATATGAGATTCTTAAAGTAGAAGTCACCTCTACATCACAGCTATCTTGGAACAGAAATGGCCAAACTTAGACAACTCACAGCAAACGGACAGGATAATCTTGGAAGAAACAAAGGGCTAGGCAGAGCTCCACACTACACTTTCCCTGTGTCTGGTAAATACTCTCAAGGCTATATCTTCCCTACCCTTCCCTCTGCTCTCATTACAACTTCAGAAGTTGGTGGTGAAGGACAATCCCTCTGTGTTTATATGGGAAAGACCAAAGACTTCTCTGCTCTAGACTACTTTCTGGTACTACACAAGTTAGTTCAACTGACTGTCTGTAAGTGATATGAAAAAAAAAAAAAAGCATTTGAAAGATCCCACTTTCTTGGGGAAAGTTATTTGAAATACATGTTTTCTGAAGTGGTCTGCATTCCAACGTGTAAAAGGAAACAGTGAACATAAGTATCAAATGAAGTAACTCAGACACATGAAAACAGATGGGGATAGCAGTTGCCACTAAAAACTGGTATTCAGCTTATCAGCCATGTGTCCACAGACTTCAATACTGTTGATTACAGTACTGGTTAGCTTGTCATATACCAAGTTCCCTTTTAGTGCTTGATTTGCCCACAGTGTAATTCACAGCACTATCTAAGATTCTCCTATAAATTAATATATAGAAACTTCTTCTCCAGCAATGGCATTTTTCAGGAAGGCAGACCTCCCCTACCCAGCTTAACTCAGATCTGTCAGCACATTGCCGTTGCTAACACAATAGTTAAAGACTAAAAATAAAAAAAAATACGGACATGTTATTTTAGAACCCCAGCATCTGGGGAAAAGTGAGCTGTATAACAGCCCTAGAAGTCACCTTATAGTTGAACCACCAACATTGATATTGGCCTTATTTATAGAGATCAGAACACAATATGCCAAATTCACGCTCAGGCAAGGAGGCTGGAAGTCTTTCAAGGCTGCAAAGACAAGGTAAGTGACCAGCCATTAAGTATGTTACAAGATACTTTCTAAATATAATTCCCTTTAGTAGGGACTTATGAGACCTTTCAAATACCTAAAAATGTAATGCATGGAACTATTAGCATGACAATGGTGTGTTCACTTCAGTTTACACTGTTCAGATGACTTAGGAGAAGAAAAACTCTTTTGGTGTTGGAAAAGAAAACCACCAACTTTCACAACTGTGAAAGGAGTCAGTATGTCAGGACTAAATAGCATTTGAGGGTACTAACAGCTCAGAGCACCCTAGCTGGATGATCTTCTGCATTGTTCCTCATGGTGGACAAGGTACAGCCCTGGGAGGATGCTGTGACCTCCACTACACCTGTGACAAACTGGCAAGGAAAAGCTGTCACCCAAGATTCAGTTCCAGCAGTGTTGCAGGGCGACTTGCAATTGGACTCCTGCAGCCCTCTGGAGACCAGGTTTCCTTCAGCATCTGCTTCGATACAAAGTAAAGAGAGGGAGAAAATAAAGAAACGTTCTGCCTGGCTTCAGGCTGCAGGGACACATGCACTGTGCTGTGCCAAGTGGTGCCTTGGGACACTTTGTATTTGTTGAAGTAATATCAGAAGATAACAAGAGATGCAGCAGCTGGGCGTGCAGTTGTGTGGGATGAAGTACTGGTAGCAAAGCAGATACCTCTGGCCAGCAAAAACAGATTAAGATGAGATACTTTTTTAAAAAACTGGATTCATATTTTAGACTCAGCCCTACATGCATCACAAGACAGGTTAGATTTCCCATATAGTGCAGGAAAGCCCAAAGAGCTCTGCTTTCAGCGACTGACCACATCGCCTCTTCCTGACAGGTTTTTCATATCTGCATACCTGTGCACAGACTTATGGCAGGAAAGGTGAGAAGTTACTTGGAGAATATATGGCTGTAGCACAGGGAAAAAAAGAGCTAAGCAAGACGCATCCTTTGTGCCAGGCAAGAAGCCTTCTTCAGCATTAGCCCAGAAACAGGACAGGCCACATAAAAAGCAAAAGCAAGCTAGCTCCATCCTTAAATCATCTCCATTTTAGATGACTGTCTCAGGGTGATTACTCAGCAGTTACTGTCACATCTGTGTCTTTTGCCTGTGACCATGTAAGTCTGAACAAAGGCACTGAGTACAAAACTTACAGCCATTGAGAACATCTTTTTACTTGGAGCAGCTCAGTTAGGTCATTACATCAAATAAGCATTAAAATCCCCTTTTAGAAGAGCTTTTCCTCCACCATGTTCTAAGTGGTGGGCAGGTGAGAGCACTTAAATGCTTTCTTCCTCATTTGTATGAACTCAAACCATATTAAAGTTCTGCCTCCTCTCTCCCCATACTTCTAGCTTTAGTGAGGTTATATAGCTGTAACTAGAGGTAGCACGTAGAACTATACACTGCATGTTGTCTCAGGTGACAGCCCTCAGCATCCACAGATTTAGCAATGCTGCTTTACTTACTGTTGCTCACTTACATTGCTTTGAGAACAGGAGACAGATTTCTCTCTGCAGAATTGCCAGACCTTTATTAAGTTATGTACTAATATTATTATGCAACATATGTTTTAAAAGTGACGTGTTTTGCTTTGCTCATTCTTAATCTCTCATTAGGCATTAGAGAAACTAAGTATTTTGCTGCTCTGGAGTCTTCATTTTGGCAAGGGAATCATTATAAGCATGTCAGCTAAGGTAGTGGTCTGGGAGAGAAGAAAAAAAAAAAAAGAACAAAAATATACACTCATGGGTTGCTAGGGGTTGTGCAGATGGGCAGTAGATGTTTTAGAGAAGTGCCAAAGGAAAGGGACTCAGGCTGCAGGGAAGACATTATACCAGAAGAGAATGAAGACTCTTAGAAGCACCACTCTGAAATCCAGTACATCTTTTAATACTGTCAGATTTAGAAAGCAAATTTTAGCAAGTACATGGCAACAAAAGCCTAGAAGAAATGAAATCAATTTAAGTAGTTAAGTTTGAACTGCAAGACAGAGAAGCCTTGTTGGACTAGGTGAAAGCACAGACAAATTCCACTTGTTAACCAAACTGATTGTTTGAGGGAGAGTTGCAAGCTGTTGTGGGAGGCACTAATTTTAATAAATATCTGTACAGCACTCACAATGACAAGGCCCTGGCTCAGGGAAAGAACGGGCAGTCCAGTTCCTTTTACAACTGGGATAAAGGGCACGATTTGATTAATAAAGACCTTGGTTTTTATCAGCAGTCTACTGTTGTAGGGGGAAAAAAAGGAAAGAAAAAAAAAAAAGAGAAAATAAAGTAGCACCCTAGTCCTGCTT